AATCGACTTGCCTATCTTGCTTAGTACCCTTCGCCTGACCTCAACATTTCTCGTACGGTGATTCCATCAAACGCGACCAATGTTACGAAGAAATCTGTAGTTAAAATCATGTAACCGCTCTGTCTTCTGCTGTTAACGGCTGTGTCCTTACGATAGACCAATAAACAACGCGCAGGCGATCCATCAAGCAATCTGTTGGTCACCCAAATAGAAAACTATATTGGTGTGGCAGAGGTTGGCAGAGAAACACTACACACATCAAGTCCGGTATCTTACAAAATCTCAGCTCCAATACAAAAATAACGCTTCGTATTTGCTCATTTGCAACATTTGTAGGATCTCAGGTGTCTTCACAGCATTCCTCACGTATGGTGGAATCACTGGTGAGCAGTGTCGAGATTAGGCGGGAGTAATAAGCAAAGCCAGTGAGGTAGTGAGCCTTCACCGACTAGAAACACGTTGCGCGTGCTGCGCCGACGGCCACCTAGATGTTCGGTATTAGTCAAAGTAGGATTGGGTTGGAAGAAGATTCAGGGTCCCTAGACTAAGACTTAGCACCAGTACATGAAGCTTCTGATTGTGTTCTGAGCCAATTATGGAGGTGCAGACTTCCAAGTTCGGGTCCTTGAGATAATCGGCACTACTAGGTGGACTTTTGGTAACATGGCTTGAAACTGGTTACTAAGGTTACGTATTCACTCTGAAGCTCGAATATTTCTACCAACCTTGATTTTTAAACTCTCTCCTATTCACTGTTGTCTATTTCAGTGGCCTTTTTTCAAGCTACTGTGAAATATGGCAATTCCAACCGACACGCTTCTGTGCCAGGTTCTAGGTTAGTTTTGTCCATCTTTCAGAAAGAAGCTACCAATGTGATCAAGAATTGAAATGGAATCAGAAGCCTTGCTCATATTCGTGAGGTAGGCAATGGTCTACCCCTTTTACATGAGGGCCTAGTGATACTACCTGACTGCCTAAACCTCGGTAGGTGGAGCGTTATCGGACACGGCTCAGAATCGAAACCAGCAGCGGTCACGGTGCAACTTTCTTTGATCTTCCGCCTCTGAAAAGCAGTGAATATTTGGTTTTTAATGCACCTTATTGGACAGCCAACCACGCCCGGTTAACTAGTTCACTAGTTACTAGCCAAGCCTAAGCCCGGATAAAGAGAGAAGGTTGAGCATAGGGCTAGCAATCCTATCCCGTAAAATCAATCCAATCGCTAAACAAACTTCAAAGCATAAAAGAAATACAAAAAATAAAAACAAACTTATTTCTCTCTGGAGTCGGGGAAACGAAATGACGCCGGTTGGTGAAAGCCTTCGGGAAGCCAATTGGTCGCTGTGTTTTCTCATCTCTCGATGAAAGCAAAAGTAAACATGGGAACACGGAATGTCAACAATGTTTGAAGCTGGCTGGAAAGGCTGTCCAGATTGCAAAAGAAATGAGGAAGTATGGCATAGAAGTGCTAGGAACCTGCGAAAGCAGATTGAATGGAAGCGGACTCTCCAAACTGTCAACTACAGAGTCAATAATCTACTCCGATATTGTCACCCAGACGACAACAACGATCACACTGAGTTTTGGAGTGGCTATCATCATGTCCCCAACAGCATCAAAGGCTCTTTCTCTCTCATGCAGTGGGAATCAATCTCCTCCAGCAGGATCAGGATCATGACACCAAGATTCAAATCAAAAGGAAGGAAAGTTACAACAGTACAATGCTACGCTACGCTACGCACCTACAAATAATGCAGATCAAGATAAGAAGGAGGAATTCTACAGACAACTCCAATCGGTACTAGACAAGACTCCAGTTGGAAACATCAAAATTCTAATGGGTGACATGAATCCCAAACTCGGAGCGGACAACACAGGAAGAGAACTCACCATGGGTCGAGAAGCACTAGATAAAATGATGTATGAGAATGCAGAACTGTTTGCAGACTTCTGCGCATTCAACCATTTGGTCACTGGAGGCAGTGTGAACAAATACAACGATATTCACAAGGCAGTGTGACATGCATTTCACCAGACACCAGGACACACTACACTAAAAATCAGATCGACTTCATCTCAATCTGAAGAAAGTGAAGATGCAGCCTACTGGACACAAGATCAGATCAAGAAGGAGAGCAGATGTAGCTTCACACCACTCACCATCTACTGCAAGGAACCTACCTACCTACCTTCAAAATCAAGTTGAAAGACTTCACAGAAGTTGGTGATAGACCACAGTTCAAGTTCAACACCCAGAACAGAAATTGAACTGAAGGACGAAACTACAAACGACATCTTCACGTCAGTCATCAGCACACAATGGGAGACACTGACCAACATCCCTGAGGGAACCTGCGTGGAAGAACACTGGAACTCTTTGGAAGCTATGTGGAAGCAAACCTGCATAACCATGTTAGGAAGGAAGAGGCAACAAGACAAGGAATGGAATGGGGCTCCACGGATACATGCCAGCTGACAGAGGAGGGAGAGGAAGATGGTGGGGCAGAAGATGAACCAGTGCAGTGCAGTGCAGTGCAGTGCAGTGCAGTGCAGTGCAGTGCAGTGCAGTGCAGTGCAGTGCAGTGCGGAGATGAACAACGAAGAGAGGAACTGAATACAACCTACATAACACTACACTGGACAAAGAAGTGAAGAAGAGTGCGCGCAAACACAAAAGACACTTCCACCACACACTAGCAAGTGAAGTAGAACAGGCTGCTGGTAGGAGAAACCTGAAAACTCTGTATCAAATAACCGGGTTACTTGCCATCTGAGAAGATGTCAGAGCAGATGAAACCAATGAAAGATAGTGAAGGAAACTTAGTTACCATCAAAAAGGAGAAACAAAGGAAACGATAGACTGACCACTTCAGAAAAACTCTTGAATCGATCACCACGACCACTACCACCTGCCACTCGTCCAGAAATACCATCAGCGGCCCAGACACACAATTACCAGTGAACACAAGCTCTCCGACATACAAAGTCTCGAACACCACGTCATAAAGTTGCTGAAATCCGAGAAAGCAGCAGGACCAAATAGCATTCCACCAGAAGCACTGAGAACACATACACAGGCAACAGCAGACATGCTCACACCACTATTACTGAAGGTTAGCAAGCAAACAACAAAGGAAGGAAGGGTACCTGCCGATTGATTGCACGAAGCACTACCTTGTCAAACCCCCAAAGAAGGGTGACCTAAATCATTGCAACAACTGCCGCGGAATCATGCTCATGTCACTGTCCACTTCAAGCAAAACATTAAGCCGCATCATCCTGGAGAGACTAAACAATGCTCTGCATTCGAAATTACAACCGGAACAGGCTGGCTGGCTGGCTAGCTAGCTAGCTAGCTAGCTGGTTGTCTTCAGGAAGAACAAATCATGTGCACATCAAATTGCAATGCTACACTACGCATCATCATAGAACACACCAGAGAATGGAAGTCAACTCTCTACCTCAACTTCATCAACTTTGAAAAGGCCTTCGACAGCGTCGACCGAGAACTAATCCAGCAACTGCTTCGACTCTACGGTCTTAGTGCCATTCAACAGCTATAAGCTACATGATGTCATATGCCAAGTGATTCACAATGGAAAGCTCAGTGACGCCTTTGAAGTGAAGACTGGAAGGAGTAAGACAAGTAAGGCTGTCTACTATCACCGATGATCTTCTTGATTGTGGCCGACTGGATCATACAGCAGACAACTGTGAGGAGCGAGATGATGGCCTTACGCTGCTTGGACCGATGAAGAGACGATTCCAGAAGATTTGGATTTCGCCAATGATGATTTATGTCTAATGTCGCACAAGCTGGAAGATCTACAGGCGAAGACCAACAAGTTGACAGAAAAGGTCATGCAGCCAAGACGAGACTTCCTTCAGGTGAACGTAGAGAAGACGGAGGTGATAAAGATACCCAACCTACAACAGTATCAACAACAGCATCAACAACAAGCACCAATCACCATTAACGGGAGAAACTCAAAGGAAGTTGTCTCTTTCACCCATCTAGCTAGGTAGGGCAGCATCGTTCCAACTACATGCGGCACAGACGAGGATGTCAAAACCAGGATCGGAAAGACAACAAGACAGGCTTTCACCAATTTGGAATCAGTGTGGAGATCCACAACACTCAACACAAAGAACAAGATCCGGATTTTCAAAAACGATGTCAAGTCAGTGCTTCTGTATGGCTCAGAAACTTGGCGCGTCATGAAAAGCATTTTTAACAAACTACAGACATACATCACATCAACAGCTACCGCTTAAACTCACTCGATACCGAAGATCAGATGGCCAGAGTAGTAAGAATAATCAACGAGGGACTGTAGCCGGGCAACGAACCAACCAACAACCCATCACCCAACAAATATGCAGAAGAAAGTGGAGATGGATTGGACATACACTGAGGAAGTCAACTGGAGACATCATGAACCAGGCACTTGAGTTGAAGTCAAAGAGGGAAACGAGGAGTTGGGCGTCGGAGCCGAGGGTGACATTGAGGAGATCGTGTGAGGAAGAAATGAACGCTTGTGAGCAATCGTGGAGCCAGGTTGAAAGACTTCGGAGAACAGAATGAAACGGTGACGTGCTACTGGAGGTCTATGTTCCACTAGGAACCCAAGGGAAAAACAATATAATTGGATAGGCCTTCTCATTATTCTATTCCTACTGGTTTGGTTTTTTTATTTGTCCGCTTCCTAGCAGTTTATACCTTCATAATGTTATACTACTTTGTAGACAGCATTTTTTTTATGCCTTTTGTGCTACGTTTGTTTTCTAGTAGTAATGATGATGATGTGAAGCGGGGCTCTCCCTTAAGCAATGAGCTCCATAAATATAATCCACACTGTAGTAACATCTGAAAAAAATGAGGCCAGACATGGATCTGACTTGTACAACTTAGTGTAAAACCATAGTTTAGCTGCAGCGATTCAATCAATTTACCAGAGCTTACAATCAAATAAGCAATCACAATATAACCATTGACTCACTCTGTTTTTGACAAGTAGGCTTAAGACTTGATGTTACACTATTGCGAGGTTGATCAAGCTTGCCCGGGGATTTGCCACAACCAACAATTTTTTCACCTCCCCTTGCTGCTAATGCATCATATGGATGACCATCATAATTTACGTCGAAGAAGCGTTTAAACCACTGGACAAACTCAAAGTTGTCCTGAAACTTTCCTTTAACCAGCTTCTCTATGGGAACTTCCTACGGCAACATAAAAAGTTACTTGACTTCTTACTTTGTCTACACCATGCTTATCGAAGAGTGCTTGCAAAACTTTGAAGTTATTGATGTACTCATGCTCCAGCTTCGTGTTGAACTTAACCTTCTTGAATAGCAGCGTGCCTGAAACAATGCTTAAATATCAGATAGACTGTACCTGGAAAAAGCATGTCCACAAGTTGGCAGTAGGCAGCTCCTACAAATAAAGAATGATAAATCTTGGATCTCTATACCTGTACACAACTCTTCGACCTTACAGTAACCAGTACGTAGACTCTTATTAACCCAGATTAGTATATCATTTCTGCTTATATTGTCAGTCATTTGACTGGTACTGTGTACATTGACAGCTTGCTGAGCGTCCGCCATCTCTAAATTAAGTAACACGACTTTTCAAAGATAGTTCCGAAAGACCGCGTAACGAACACAGTAATTCACAAAGTTGCGGCATAAACAAAATGATGAACTTCAAAACTCCTGTTGTAGAGATAGCGACTAACAGTGGCTTGGGTCCTATATCTATGTTTTTAGGACTGTTCGCACTTCCTGTGCAGCTTTTGCGAAATATAAAAGGTAAGAGTTAGTTTATCATTGTAAACCAACTTTCTTCTGATAATGCTGCTACTCAAGGTCCGTAAGGTGATCGAAGTCTTACTGATTACAATCCATCTCTAACATAAGTTTCCAAGTGGACGTCTGATTTCTATTTTAAAGAGTTAGGAGAAGAGGTTGTAACAATTTCAGGATGGGAATTTCACAGCTTGCCCTGTGATGCCTTACACCTGAAAATAACTTCTTATCTAAGATTTGGAGGGGTGGGTTAAGACCACAGGTACTATGATCATCGTGGTAGCCCATGATCACAGACCCTCTGCTCAGACTGAATTATGATGGTTGAAGTTTAGGATGGACTAAGCAAACCCGGTAAGGTTTTTTACAGTAGTTTAGCATTTTTTCTCTGGGCCCGTCCCAAGATATCAGTATCTTTCCTGAAGCAAGGGGTCGCGAAAGGCAGGTTCTTAGGATGAAGACGAATAAATAGTCTGTACACTTCTGTGAATAGACTTGAAACCACCATCCCAAAGGTTCGAGAAGGGATTTCTTGTGTTTCTAATCCTCGTTTTTGTAAATATTATTCCTTTTTACCCGAGACTATCTTCTATTCCTGGTGGGACGAACACTGGAAGGAACTTTGAGGCACTTCAGAGATCATGATCGATATACCATTCGATCCGTCGTCTAATCTTTTTAACGACACACTTGAATAAGTTTGGACAACCAGGGACCACTATTCACAGTTCCACAATAGTGAAACCAATGGGTTGTTTCCTCCTACCGGTATCGTTCCAGGACCCTCACAGAACCGATAAGGAGGGAGCTAACGGTGGTGCTAAATATTTTTTTCAAAATCAGCATCCTAGGGTTCGACGCGATTTAGTATAGATGCTGACCTTCATAGTTTTAACAGACTGGCTAAGCTGAGGGCGTACAGACATCTGAGCTATTCGGCTCGTTGTTGTGTTAAGTAAAACTGCTCACACATGATCACTACCATTTATTTGTGATACATCGGTATTTTGGCATGGCCTACCAAGTATACTATCCCAACCTGGCCACTCTGCTGTGTTCTTCCTTTGTCTCGCATTCGCTAGTGTATAACAAGTATGGAGAATTAGTGTCTGGCCTCCGGATGTGTCCAGTTCGCATAGGGTCGTTTCCCAAACTAGCTTACCACAATGGGACAATCAGGAGAGGCTTCAAGTTTTCCACCTGGGGTAACTTTGAGATCATTTCCGGTGACTGAGTGAGAGATGTTTATTTTCTTCAAACAATATGAACAAGAATCGATCCCATACTTGTATACTATCACTACCTCATACTTCTCTGTGTTAAGAGGGAGAAGTTTATCACTCGTCTAATTCAAGGCTTTGATAAAGTTCTCTCTGGAGATAGAGATATCTGTTGGCTCTGGGATTCCCTAGCATATCTTACTATCAGATGCATAAAGTCATGAACAAGAAGTCATGACAGCCGTTAAGTCACATATGGAGGCGACGAACACCAGTGGATGAAGAATCAGCTGAAACACTGAGCATCATCAACTAAGTACAACAAAAGGAAGCCAACCGCAACTTATTGCCTTCCGTCGTTAGGGCGACCTCCAAATAAAGCAACCCCCTAAGTATGTCCGTAAGCCGAAGCTTCTCGCACCACGCCGGTAAAATACTGGTAAATTCTTTGCAGTAGTCCAGCGGCTCAATACGACCGGGCTTCCTGAGCTCTGAAAGGATTTTATTGACCACAGATTATCAAAAGTTGGTGCTACGTAAATTGTGAGGTCACATCCGTGATGAAAGTTACTCAGGACAGAGTTCCTTGGCAAACAATCACATAGAGTCATTTACTACTGCCTGAATACCAAGGAGACCAGAAAGATTGTAATATGATAGGTGGTTATGAGTTCATTTCCATCTTCACAGGCTGTAACGCCTGCCTCTAGCTCTCAGCTGGAAGGCAACCTGGCCCCCTCAAAGGTTTAACCGGTGAAACTGATGGGGCTAAAAAACTGGTATACTTTCTGATTAGTCTCGGAAACATACTCTTAGTTTCTGAGTTTTAATTTCAGCTCCTTGAGATTCTCGTACTTTAGGAGGCTCAAATACTGTTTGATTTAACTTTTCTGCAAGTTAGGTGATAGGTCTGTGTGAGGTTGTCTCCATCGCTTGGTGAGCGTTGTAAACTTGAGCCAGTAGACTATCAACCTGAAAATATAGAGAACCGTTCAACACTTGTGATCTTGTACACTGTGCGAACGGTTAATCCTCTCTTTCACCCATGAATATAATATCTTGCCATTTGCTTCCAGCATCTTAGGCAGTTCACTTCGTCCCATCTGAGTTTCTGCTCATCTGCAGCAGACTTCCGCGCAAATATCTGGTCGTTGGTACTGCCAGTTGCGCCTCACTTGTTCCTTGGCGACTGATTACATAATTTAGGTCCGATGATGTTTGACTACAGCCTGGAAAGATGAATCGATCATTTATAAGTGGGAACATTTAACGTCCGTTCACCAACAACTTAGGGGATCGTGGTTTTCAGCGATCCCCATTTGCGGTTAACACAGTGTTAGTCGTCAAGGCAGACAGTAACTTCTGGACCTCGCCTGACCTTTCCGCAGTCACTTATGCCAGAATTTCTGACTGATTTTCACTCCCGAGTAGGGTAGTTAGATCAAGGGGTGATGAATTAAGTCAGTACGTGACAACTCTATCCAAGAGATCGACTAACACTAAAGTTGGAGCAGCCGCTGATTTAACTTATCGAGTAGAATCGAGTTTGGTTGTCTGTTAGTCAGACCGCTGATGAATCGGCTGAAAGACATGTTCACTCAAACAATGATCCTGTAGTAACTTATATCTCTGGCGGGAAAAGATTCACTGGTTGCACTGGACAGCTATGGAAAGCTAGAACCACTTTTAATAAGCTGCAATCCGTGCACATTACAGGATCCCGAGCAACCGAGGACCTCGGCAGTATTCCGTGCAACACTGAAGGAAGCCTTTAGCAATAATGCAAGTGCGGAAAATCTCTTAAGCCGTTCTAGTAGTGCAAGTGTAAGGAAGGATACTTCATATCGACCTCTCCGGCCCTTCTTTCCGAATTGGGTGGAGCACTCTGAGATGGATTTCATCATTCCTACCTCTTCTGAGAGTCAACTTTCACAGGTGGCCACCAAAGCAGCAAAATCCTCCCCTTTTTAAGTGTATCTGAGGGGGAGCCGTTCTTACTGTAGTAGGTACAACAGGTGAGTATCGTGACCTGGAGTCCTAGATGCAGGTCGTCGCTACTTCAAAACAAGCTGTCTCTGCCAAACCTCAACAGAGGTGCAGAAATAACAGCCTCCAAATTCTCCAGAATGGGCACGTGAGAGCCAAACCAAGTTTCTTGGTTCCCAATACCAGTGGGGAAAAACTTGCTCGTCTCTAAGTCATTCAGTCAGTAGGCTTGCGTCAGCACAGGGCAATTGCTCAACTCCACTTTCAGTTTACTCTTTCCCCTTGCTTGAGCTCGCTTACCGTGACGTAATGTAATAAATATTCGAAATATATTTATTTTTGGAAGGCTCCCAGTTGGTAGCATAATGTCGCTAGGCTTTTTCTGACCACATCTGAAGGACAGAGGGCCACTTTAAGTAAAGGTGAATTGTGCTAGGCTGGAAGGCCTACGGGTCATCGGAAACCATGGATTTCCTCTCGGCCTTTACACCAGCGACTTTCTATCTATCCACCAAGTATTTTTTCATTGTGTGCTATAGGCCGGTTCAGCACCCTTAGCAACGGCCACCCACTCAGGAATCATACTTATGATACCTGAGTGGCATAGATCTTCGGTGGGCATTTTCTTACGGGTGCTGAGTAGTAATAACAGATTTCGAATGATGATTTGTAAGAACATACGCCACCTTTGCATGCAATACGAGGATGCTGTTTTTCTCAGTAAAGCTGAAAACGTTTAGGAAGAGAGAAATCATTCCGACATGAAGTCTTCTGGAGCAAGCAGTCATTTAGATGTTGCTGGTAACGAACATTGGGTAAAAGCCATATCGCTAAACAGCAGGAGGAAAAACTAATACGGGGAATATAATCACCCAGTATAAGAAGTATCCTGGCTACGTTGAGTCATATAATCTACAAGGCTACAGTATCTGGAGAGGACACAAAGAATGAGGGGCTACATGGTTTCATATCCCACGCATAGAATACTTTTGGAGTTTTATTTAGTACATTTGTCACGTCCTAGTTTAGGCGGCGTTACAAATCCCTAAGGATATGATTTTATTTTGCATTTGATAACGAGTAAAAACCTTGGTATGCTTTTGAGGGCAAAACGTGCTGCAGGCCAGGCTGGGTGAAGTTCCTATGACCTCAGCATAAAATGTCCGGTATTTATCAAACTGTTCGTCATACCTAAGTTTCAGTGAATCTCATGGACACTGCAAATAGTATGTTGTCACCAGCAGTATGCAGGAGAGACATTTTCGGGCACACCTAGAGCTGCTCTACCTTCCCACTTACCCATTGCTCAATCACGTGCAAACCTAATAACGATACTCAAAAGACAACTCGATGGGCTAAGGAAGCGCTCCGCTGGTGAATTCACCTAAAGTGAGGTACGGTGCAAAGAAAATGATTGTCTCATACAGTTAACTGCCCTACTTGGCCATAGAGGCGCGGGGACGACAGCTGTAACAGAATATATAAATAAATATTTGATTCTTATATTAGCAAGTCAAAATGAGAGAAGCCAGCTTAAACTTATCACCACACTGATGTATGTTGGAAAATCTACGAGAGTTAGGGATCATGAATAGCACATAAGAGAGGACATTAGACTCTGTTCAAAACATCAGATGATCCTGCTAGTCATAAGA